GGAAAACTAAGCTTGGTGGAGAGACGGACAGCAGTCTCTCAGGCTACGTCCACACTAGCCTGGATAGATTTGAAAAAGGCGTTTTCATCACACTAGCGTTTTCAGTCGTTTCACAGAGTTGTGCGTCCACATTGAAACAGCCGAAAACGCTATGTTCCAGCACTGCGCATGCGCAAAAGCGAGTGATAATTAAATAATTTGAAGAAAAGCTATCTGGAGCATGTACAAACTGATATGAATCTTTTTTAGGGCTGTCAAAATTGAGAGCCATCAAAACAACTGCTGTATAATGCACTCCGCTATCTTTGTTTAATTGGTCACATGACTGCATCACATGACTAAAATGCGTCCTTAGTGTTAGAAAGTCTGCGTTTTCGAGAGTTTTCAAAAGTCTCAGTGTGGACACGAGGCCAAAACGGAGAAAAACGATGCATTTTCAAACTAAAACGCATTAGTGTGGACTAAGCCTAAGAGACAAAAGACTCTTCCTGTGGTCTGCTTCCCCCCAACATCCTTACCAGGCCCCCACCATCTGTCGAACTGCATGAATGTGAAACATGCTAAAGTCCAGTGGCACTAAGGCAGCATACAATTAATTAATGTGACTAATACATAAATAAAAGAAGTTCTTATACACCATCTTGTGGGATACTTTCTGTCATTCAAATCTTTGTTTCAGTTTTCATCAAAAATGAGTCTTCTTGCAGGTGCTGATGACAACACTTGGTTATGATTTTGTTGAGTTCGCTCAGGAGTCTCTTGTCTGACTTCCCTGCACTCTTGTGTATCAGTCCTTAAAATGAGAGCAAACAAAAAAGTTACATTTTTTAAATATTACTGTATGATTGAGAATAAAGTTACAGCAAAGTGAGAACATTGAAAAGATTGAAAGTGAAATGTGACAACAGAGGCTGAAATTTTCAGTTGTAAATTCACAGGATGAAGAGTCACTTACTCATCAGTGTCTCTGTTTGCAGTTTCAGGTGTTTCATTCGACTGAATCGCCATGTGTGAAAGACTGAAAAATGTAAGAAATGTATTAGATTTATTATTGCTAATAAACTCAAACAAATGCATTATGATATACTTGAAATAAATAATAAAAACCATAGTTTGGACCCTTGACCTCTGAGAAAAATGGACAGTTCACAATAGTTCTGAAAGTCCTTGACTTCGCAAACTGTATCTCCTGCAGCTCTAACAGCAGTGATCCAAACACAGCAGACTGTGCTGGCAGCAGTTGGAGAAGATGCTGAATTCAGCTGTCAGCTGTTGGAGACTAAAGACGTCCTTCAGGTCACATGGCAGAAAATCTCACATGATGTGGAGACAAACGTTGCCGCGTACAATAAGTACTTTTGCCAAAAAGTGTGTACTGACTTTGCAGATAAGATTGAGTTTTTATACACTGGACTGCAGAACTGCTCCATAGTCATCAGGAATGTAACAGAGCAGGATGAAGGATGCTATTGTCTGTTTAACACTTATCCTGAAGGCTCCTTCATTAGTAGAACCTGCCTCCAAATCTATGGTAAGTTCTTGAAACAAACATAGTGGACATAAATGTGTCAGCAGCTGATGTGTTTGTAAGAACAGGTTGAAGATATTTGCTGCACAAAAATCTATCAGGACAACATGCAACATAGACACGGTTTAAGAGGAGTACCTGTTCTGAGATTTCTTTCTAAGCCAGACAAACAAGAGAACACCGAGCACCAACACCACAGAGGATAAGATCACTGAAATCCTGATTCCTTTAAGACAAACAGGAGAAAGAAAGTTATAACAATTTGAACATCTATCAAAACAAAATAGGAACAGGAAAGCTGACTTTAAAACATAAAAATGTTAACACACCTAAATTCCTGGGATTAGATCCTGATTTCTTATCAAGATCTAGTAGAAGAAACACAAACATTACAATCACAAAGTAATCATTAATTTATAAATAAATGACTTCAAGAGAGTTTCTCACCATCATCAACACCATCATCATCATCATCATCATCAGGAATCGTCA